CCGGGCGCTCCCCGAGGAGCGGCGCGCTGGCGCCCGCGGCCCTTGGCGCGCTTGCCGCCCGGGTTCTCGTGGGCGTGCTGGGGCGGCGTGCCCGCACGGGGTGCCCTCCTCCTCCTCCTCCTCCTCCTCCTCCTCCTCCTCCTCTCCCTTCTCCTCCTCCTCCTTCTCCTTCTCCTCCTCCTCCTCCTCCTCCTCCTCCTCCTCCTCCTCCTCCTCCTCCTCTTTGTGTCAGGGTGATCCTTCGCCGGAGTGCCCTTCCTTGAGATCCTGGCGTCGCATTTTTTTTGAGCTGGGCATCTTCGCCGGGCTTCGAGCTCTAGGACCTTCACATATCGATTTGGCGCGAGAAATCGCGCAGAAAGGTGGGGTCTGCTACTCTGGTCGTGATTCTTCACGTGCCTGTATTTTTTCGCTACGTCGGATCTCAGGGTTTGGCGCGGGTCCACAGGGGTCCCCCCAACAGTGGCCTGGCACTCGGACTCGGCCTTCCCGCTGCCCCCTCAAAGCCACGCACCAAAGGTCACTCTTGCCTAGGGTCACTCCTGCATGCAGCTGACGCACGGGGTGCGCGTCGAGAGAGCCTGCAGATCTCACGCTATGATCGTTCGCAGTCACCGCGCTTTCCTTTCGTTTTGACCTCCATTGGCCGCTTGGGGGCCCCGGGAGCGTCGAACACACGATTCCAGGACGCAGAACTACCCCCGTGGAAGGGGTCGGGAGCCCTGGGGCCGCGGATTGAGCAAATCATACCGGCGGATGTCTGGGAGCGCTGGATAGGGAAAAAACACACAGACACAATTTATCGTCGACTCCCAGGAAAATATGGGAATTGGGGGGGAAGACAAAAACCCAGAAAATGTAAGAAAATTTGGGGAATCTTTTTATTTGTGTGTATTTATTTTTGTGTCCCAGGGCCCCTTCAATGACGCGGCCCGCCCGGGCGAGGGCTGGACACACGCGGCCCCTCCGTGGCCGGGCGCTCGCGCACGCGCCTCCTGCGCGCCGCGCCTTCTTGGGTGCCCCGCACGCGAGGGCAGCCATGTGGGATGCTTCAGACAAGGCCGCGCCTTCGAGGGTCGATGGAGTTGCCATCTCTTCCTCGGAGCAGGGCGGCGGAAGTACGGGGGAAGCCGGCGGAAGTCATACGGGGCCGGCGCCGCCGGCGGCAGCTGGCGGACGGCCGGCGGAAAAAGGGCTATGGTAGTCGCGTTGAAAAAGGACGGCCGGCGGGAGGCGGCGGAAGGTGGATGGCAAAGTCTACCTGGCACCAGAGGGCCAATAGCTGGTGCTTATGCCAAATGCCGTTCTTGTTTTCCAGCCACAGGCGTCTATAGACACGTTGGATGTCGTTACATCTCTAGACACATCCGGGGTGGATGCGCCTATAGAACGCGCGACGCTTGCGTTCGGCGCAGTACGGTGTCAGAGGATGGGTAGATCCATCTACAATCTGTTCCTGTTCTAGAGCAGGTCCGCAGGTCCCCCATGATACTCCAATGCGGAAGTAAAAGAAGGGCACCCAAGATATGGCAACATTTTTTCCCAACCATCCTGTGGTGCTGGGTCCTCGTCTTGAAGAGACGGCGCCCCGCGTTCTCCTACTCCTCCTCCTCCTCCTCCTCCCGCCTCCTTCCTCCTCCCCCTCCTCCCTCCTCCTCCCCCTCCTCCATTTTCCCTGCGTTTCACAAACCTAGTACAGCGTTTCGTGGCCCCATGGGAGCTCCTCCGAATGCCACAGTGCCACCGCCCGCATGCGTCACCCACACCAATTTCGGCACACCCCTCACACATATCGTGGCCCCACAGGGAGCTCCACCGAAGGCCCCAGTGCCACCGCCCGCATGCGTCAATCACACAAATTTCGGCACACCAATCACACGTTTCGTGGCCACATAGCCCCATAGGGAGCTCCACCGAAGGCCACAGTGCCACCGCCCGCATGCGTCACCCGCATCCACTTCGGCACACCCCTCGCACGCTTCGTGGCCCCATGGGGAGCTCCACCGAAGGCCCCAGTGCCACCGCCCGCATGCGTCAACCACACCCATGTCGGCACACCCTTCGCGCGTTTCGTGGCCCCAAAGGTAGCTCCAAGCTCCAACGAAGGCCCTGGTGCCACCCCCCGTATGCGTCACCCACGCCCATTTCGGCACACCTCTCACGCGTTTCGTGGCCCCATAGGGAGCTCCACCGAAGGCGCCAGTGCCACCGCCCGCATGCGTCACCCACACATCTTCCGCCACACCCCTTACACGTTTCGTGGCCCCATAGGGAGCTCCACCGAAGGCCCTGGTGCCACCGCCCGCATGCGTCACCCACGCACACTCTGGCACACCCCTCACGCGTTTCGTGGCCCCATGGGGAGCTCCACCGAAGTCGCCAGGGGCTGCGTTCCATTTCGGCACACCCATCACACGTTTCGCGGCCCCAAAGGGAGCTCCAACGAAGGTCCCAGTGGCTGCGTTCGCATGCGCCCACCGCGCCTATTTCGGCACACCTCTCACGCGTTTCGTGACCCCATAGGGAATTCTACCGATGGCCCCAGTAGCTGCTTTCGTACGCGCCCACCAGACAAATTTTGGCACACCGCTCACACGTTTCGTGGCCTTATAGGGAGCTCCCCCGAATGCGGTGCACATAATGACGGTACTCACAGATGCATATCATTGGGTCTTTCGCCAGGCTAATTTGGCTCAGGGTCTCAGGATCGGGCCATATGTATGGATTCCAGCTTCCTGGCGCTTCCACCGCCGCCTCCTCGCTTCCATGCCTCCTTCCTCCACCCTCTCTCCATTCCCTGCGCTCGCCTCCTCCTCCTTCCTCCTGCTCCTTCTCCTCCTCCTCCTCCTTCTCCTCCTCCTCCTCTTTCTCCTCCTCCTCTTCCTCCTCCCAGGGGAGCAAGAGGGCATGATAATACTATGGTTCAGGATAGCCAAGATCTCCAGGAAGTCCAGAATTTCGTTCCTCACGGGCTGCAGAAATAAGAACCGCTGGAACGTAAGTATCCCGAGCCAATCGTATCATTAGATGGCCTTCGCCCCATGCTCGCCCTCCTCTTTCTCCTCGGGCTTCATGGCCCCCCAGATCCCCGACGGTGCGTATTTTTCCCAACCATGCTGTGGTGTTGGGTTCTCTTTTTGAAGAGACAGCGCCCCGCGTTCCTCACGTAACCTCACCTCCCGTGCTCCTCCCCTCCTCCCTCCTCCCATCCCTTGCCTCTGCCCTCCGCATGTTTCTGCTTCGGCACATCTCTTACACGTTTCGTGGCCCCATAGGGAGCTCCACCGAAGACCCCAGTGGCAGGGTTCGCATTGCGCCACCGCACTCATTTCGGCACACCCCTCACACGTTCCGTGGCCCCATAGGGAGCTCTACCGAAGGCCCCAGTGGCAGGGTTCGCATGGCGCCACCACATTCATTTCGGCACACCCCTCATACGTTTCGTGGCCCCATAGGGAGCTCCACCGAAGGCCCCGGTGACAGGGTTCGCATGGCGCCACCGCGCCCATGTCGGCACACCAATCACACGTTTCGTGCCCCCACAGGGAGCTCACATTCATTCCGGCACACCCCTCACGCGTTCCATGGCCCCACAGGGAGCTCCACCGAAGGCCCCAGTGGCAGGGTTCCCATGGCGCCACCGCGCCCATTTCGGCACACCCCTCACACGTTTCGTGGTCCCATAGGGAGCTCCACCGAAGGTCCCGTGACAGGGTTCGCATGGCGCCACCGCACCCATTTCGGCATACCCCTCACACGTTTCGTGGCCCCATAGGGAGCTCCACCGAAGGCCCTAGTGGCAGGGATCGCATGGCGCCGCCTCATTCATTTCGGCACACTCCTCATACATTTCGTGGCCCCATAGGGAGCTCCACCGAGGGCCCCAGTGGCAGGGTTCGCATGGCGCCACCACATTTATTTCGGCACACCCCTCATACGTTCCGTGGCCCCATAGGGCGCTCCACCGAAGGCCCTGGTGACAGGGTTCGCATGGCGCCACCGCGCCCATTTCGGCACACCAATCACACGTTTCGTGGCCCCATAGGGAGCGCCAACGAAAACCCGCGGCCCTATAGGGAGCTTCACCGAAGGCCCCAGTGACAGGGTTCGCATGGCGCCTCCGGGCCAATGTCGGCACACCCCTCTCGTTTCGTGGCCCCACTGGGAGCTTCACCGAAGGCCCCACTGGCAGGGTTCGCATGGCGCCACCGCACCCATTTCGGCACATCTCTTACACGTTTCGTGGCCCCATTGGGAGCTCCACCAAAGGCCCCAGTGGCAGGGTTCGCATGGCGCCACCACGTTCATTTCGGCACACCCCTCACCCGCTTCGTTGGCCCCGTAGGGAGCTCCACCGAAGGCCCCTGTTGTAGGGTTCGCATGGCGCCACCACGCCCATCTCGGCACACCCTTCACACGCTTCTTTGGCCCCAGAAGGGAGCTCCACCGAAGGCCCCACTGGCAGGGTTCGCATGGCGCCACCGCACCCATTTCGGCACAACCCCCACGCGTTTCGTGGCCCCACAGGTGGCTCCACCGAAGGCGGGGCTCACAACTGCGGTGCGCACAGTTGCATATGGTTGGGTCCGTCGCCAGGGTAAATTTTTCTGACAACGCGTGCCCCCCGAGGTCTCGACACATTCCCCGTGGCCAGCTTCTCGTTCCGACTCGCTCTTTGCCGCCTACAGGGCCCGCCGAGGGCCCCCATCGGTTGAAAATAAACGTAAACTCTCCAGGCGTGATCTTTCACGACGCGAGGGGGTCTGGGTCCTCTCGTTCGTCGCCGTCCTCGTCCTGATCGTCGTCGTCGTCGTCGTCGTCGTCGTCGTCGTCGTCGTCGTCGTCGTCGTCGGCTTGGGTCGTCGTCGTCGTCGTCGTCGTCGTCGTCGTCGTCGTCGTCGGCATGGGTCGTCGTCGTCGTCGTCGTCGTCGTCGTCGTCGTCGTCGTCAACGTCGTCGTCGTCCCTCGCGATCGCCCCGTGCTGCATGCTGCCCGACAGGCGTGGACGCCGGCGCCCCGGCGCTCTCGCCGGTGTGCACCGAGCCGTACTGCGGTCGGCTGGGCAGGAGCAGAGCCGGCGAGCCAGGGGTGAGTCAGGGAGATCTGGCGTCCCCAGATCCCCTCGTGCCACGTCGTAGAGAAACCAGGGCGGGAGGTGGCTTTTCGAATCCTCTGTCCTGCGGCCGGCGCTTCAGGAGGAGCTCGTGACCCTTATTGTGCTCACTCTTTCTCTCAGGCCACGGCTCACTTCGTGAATTTGCCAATCGCAGGTCGGTTCTTGGGGTGTTCATGGTTTATTTGGCGACTCTTTCAACCACATGGAGGCTGAGGTTCAGCAATTCGTGTGGCAGTCATTTGTCCTTGAAAAAGAAAGAGAGAAACCAGGGCGGGAGGTTTTCTGGTCGTCTGCGGCCTCTGGGGGCCCTCGCTGGGTCCCGGGGCCGCCGACAGAACGCCTCGGGATGGAACGTCGGTCCTGGGGAGAGGATCGGGACTTCAGGGGACCGCGTCTGGAAGAGATGAGGACAGCGCAGGTGGGGGTTCTCCTCCTTCTTCGGCCTCTGGGGGCCTTCGCGCCGGGCCCCAGGGCCGTGGCAAGCACGCCTCAGGCTGAAGCGCGGTCCCTGGGAACGCCGACCACTTCAGCCGAAGCCGTTTCATCCAGACGACCGAGGCGAGTTCATCTGGATTAGTTCTCCTGGACATTTTTATCCGAACGAGTTCATACGAAGACGAGTTCTTCCAGAGACGAGATCATCCAGAGAAATTCATCCGGGCGAGCTTATCCGAACATATTCATTTGGACGGGTTCGTCTGGAAGAACGTTCTTCCGGATGAAGTCGTCGCGGAAGAAGTCGTTCAGGATGAATTGGTCGTTCCTTGGTCCCAGGGAATGGGTCGATTTCTGGGGGCCCGCGCAGTGATTAAAATAGCAAAGCGTCGGGGGGTTCTGGCGACGCCAGGCCAGCTGGCTCCTGCCCCCAGAGCAGCCGCAGGGGGTTTGTTTGGCGATCGCTCCTCCTTCTCCTCCTCCTCCTCCTCTCCCTCCTCCTCTCCCTCCCTCCCTCGCTTCGTCCCTCCCTCCTGTTCCTCCCTCCTCCCTCCTCCCTCCTCCCTCCTCCTCCTCCTCCTCCTCCTCCTCCTCCTCCTCCTCCTCCTCCTCCTCCTCCTCCTCCTCCTCCTCCTCCTCCCTCCTCCCTCCTTTCTTCTCCCTCTTCCCTCCTCCCCCCTCCTTCTCCTCCTCCTCGAACTCCTTCTCCTCCTCCTCCTCCTCCTGCTCCTCCCTCGTCCACTTGGAGTCAGGAAGCTGCCTGCCTGCATTGGAGCTGCAGCGTTCGGGGGGCGGCGGCGCCGCACTTGGGCCGACACGGTGCAACGCAAGACAAATCCTGGTAGCGTCTTCCGATTTTGTCTTCTTGAGCAGTGTAGCTTTCGAGAAGATGTCCTGCCTGGGCTTGTCATGGCTTTCTGCAAAGAATATTGGCTGGAATCAATCTGGTGCAACAGCTGCTCGACTCCTGGATGGAATGTGGACTGAACTTGGATTCACTCGAGTGGTTGTGGCTGGGGACTAGGCGGAAGACGATGAGATTGAAGAGGAGGACTAATGTTGCTATCATTTTGACGAGAATGATTGTGCTGATGATGCCGCTGCTGATGGTGATGATGACGATGTTGATGTTGAGTATGACGATGATGATGACGATGCTGATGCTGCTGATGATGCTGCTGCTGATGATGCTGATGCTGATGATGTTGATGCTGATGATGAAGGCGATGCTGGTGATGATGATGCTGATGCTGATGAGGATGCTGATGAAGGCGATGCTGGTGATGATTACGATTATGATTATGATGATTCGGATGATGATGCTGATGATGATGCTGATGATGATGCTGCTGATGATGATGATGACGATGATGATGATGACGAAGGGCGCAAAGAGAAATCTGATGATCAGGAGGAGGGCGAGACAGCGGAGGGGCAGGGGGAGGAGGAGAAGGAGGATAAGGTGGAGGAGAAGCAGGACAGGGGGGAGGGAGGAGCAGGAAGAGGGTGGAGACTAGGAGAAGGAAGCGAAGAGGAATGGGAGGGGTAATGAGAGGGGGAGGAGGAAGTGGAGGAAGAGGAGAGGGAATGTGAGGAGGAGTAGGAGGACAAAGAAGAAGGAGTAGGATAAGGCACAAGCGGGAGAAGGATGGGGGGGGGGAGAGGATGGGGGACGACGGCGACGACTCCTGGACCTGTCCCGGGGTGCGTTCTGGCTAGACTTTCGAAGGGAATCCACTCGTCGCGACGAGAGCGCCCCTGGTGTAACATGCGATGGCGACGATGGCGACGTCGACGAGAACATCGACGACGACGACGGCCGCGGCGATAAGGATGTTCGCGGTTTTAAACTTTGGCCCCTTCTGGGCCCTCGGGGATTGCTGGAAACCTTCAGGGACAAGGACCTCCAGGGACCTTTGAGGACTTGTGGGAACCTCCAGAGGTTGGCTGGTGAGGATCTTCGAATATTGGTTGGAGGACAGGGCTTGTTCGATGAGGAGGATGAGATTGAAGGTCGACGAGGCTTGTTTTTTGAAGAATGACGAGGTTAACTTCCTAGTTCCCTCCCCAGGCCGTTGTTATTATTATGGTTTGTCGTTGTTTGTTGTTGTTGTTGTTGTTGTTGTTGTTGTCGTCGTCGTCGTTGTTGTTGTTGTTGTTGTTGTTGTTGTTGTTGTTGTTGTTGTTGTTGTTGTTGAACATTATTACTTCTAAAGAATAATTATTGTTGGGACCCCTGGTGCACGACCCCCCCGCCGCGCCTAGGCCGCAGCCTCATTTTCATCATTTTCGTGAGGAAGTCTCAGGCAAAACGGGGGTCCGGATCCGGTTGTGTTGTTGATCGGTTTTCCCTTGCAAAAAAAGCTAAAGTGGACATTTCTTGTTCTAACATAACCAAACTTCAAGAATCCCTTGCAAAAAATAAGGTAAAGTGGACATTCGCGCGCGCAAGACGAAATCCTTCCAAAACCTTAGTTTTCGTAGCGATTTTAACATAAAAACATCAAAAAACCAATGGTTTTTCAAAAAAAAATGTCAAAATTTCATCCCGCGCGCTCTTGCGGATTCGTAGGAAACCCAACACTTTTTAACATTTCTGTCAAACGGGCTTTTGCGAGCAACTTTTTCGAACTTCTGCAACAACGGTTGCGCACCTGCCAGGGCCATCATCCCTGTCAAATAATACCATGCGGGACACATTCGTTTTTTCTTCGCGCGCGCACGCCGTCGTCGTCGGCCGCGGGGCCCTGAATAGTAGCCACGGTCGTCCGCATGCCACGAAGTGAAGTGTCCGAACGTCATAGGGCGGGAAGCTGGGTGTGGGTGGTGGCGAAGAGTCGTTTGGAAATTTGGTAGAGCTTGAACCGGCCCCCCCACAAAGTGGGGGTATTGCCCGCCTCCTATGAAAACCCTGGCACTGGTGAGAACGGAGTGTCCCCACGTGCTAGTAATTGTTGTTGTTGTTGTTGTTGTTGTTGTTGTTGTTGTTGTTGTTGTCATCGTTGTCGTCGTTGTCGTCGTTGTCGTTGTCGTTGTCGTTGTCGTCGTCGTTGTTGTTGTTGTTGGTGTTGTTGTTGAATTTTCATTTCTGAAGAAAAATCATTGTTGATCCCCCCCGCCCGGTGCACAGTGTAATTTTTCAATTGAAGTGCCCCTCCCGGGGCTCGCACCCTGTTTTTTATCAGGGAAAGTCTTGAGGGTCAAATTGTGTCCTTGGCCTTCAGTTTACAACAACGGCGTCTCCCGCCTGATACTTGATCACAATTTATGGACGAATCGCGCTTTCGCTTGGGAATTCTTGGCAATTTACCACCACATCGCTGCTCCCGCTTGATACTTCCTGACAATTTATCCATAAGGGTTTCGCCCCCTGCAGCCGGTCCCCTCTTTCGGATTATGGGCAATGCAAGAGCCAAATCATGAGGCCTTGGCGCCGCCGTGAAGCAGCGTCTGGACTTCACGTTGAGATTCTGATGATATCTTTGAATTCGGTGTTGTATTTCGAGCTTGCTCGCGTATGCTGTGCAAAAAGCTTTTCTATGAAGTATTGAAATGTTGCAAATCCCATGTATTTTTTTGACCCTGACCCCACCGATCTGCGTGATGGGTGCCACCGAATTTCAAGACATGTGGCACATCCCATGTGTTTTTCGACTCTGACCCCGCCGATCTGCATGAGGAGTGCAACCGAGTTTCAGAAATGTGGCAAATCTCTTTTATTTTTTAACCCTAACCCTGCCGATCTGCGTGAGGGGGGCCACCGAATTTCAAGACATGTGCCAAATCCCATGTGGTTTTCGACCCTGATCCCGCCGATCTGCTTGAGAAGTGCAACCGAGTTTCAGAAATGTGGCAAATTCCATGTGTTTGTGAACCCTGACTCCGCCGATCTGCGAGAGTTGGCGCCGCCGAATTTCTGAAATATGGCAAATCCCATTGGTTTTTCGACCCTGATCCTGCCGATCTGCGTAAGGGGTGCCACCGAATTTCAGACATGTGGCAAACCCCATCTGTTTTTGGACCCTGACCCCGCCGATCTGCGTGAGGGGTGCCGCCGAATTTGGAAATATGAGAAATCCCATGTGTTTTTCGGCCCTGACCCCGCCGATCTGCGTGAGAGGTGACGCCGAATTTCAGACATGTGGCACATCCCATGTGTTTTTCGACCCTGACCCCGCCGATGTGCGTGAGGGGCGCCGCCGAATTCCAGAAATGCGGCAAATCCCTTGTCTTTTTGGACCCTGACCCTGCCGATCTGCGTGAGGGGTGTTACCGAATTTGAGGAGTGTGGCAAATCCCGCGGGTTTTCCGACCCTGACCCCGCCGATCTGCGTGAGGGGTGCTGCCGGATTTCAGAATTGTGGTAATCGAAAGGTTTTTCGACCCTGACCCCGCCGATCTGCGTGAGGAATGCAGCCGGAATTCAAACATGTGGCAAATCCTATGTGTTTTTGGATCCTGATCCCGTCGATCTGCGTGAGAGGCGTCGCCGAATTTCAGAAATGTGGCAAATCCAATGTGTTTTT